GGACAGGTAAAAAGGTAAATGTGGAGGAAAGAGGGGAGATACTCAAAGATGGAAAACAATAGTAGTTTTAAACGGCTTAATTTCTGCCCTTCTGCACTAGTTTGTGCTCCAGAAATCACTTTTATCACATTTTCTACCCTTGGGAGTGCTAAAGCATTCCTGGTTTAGTTTATACTATAGAAAATTAATTCAGATTGGCCACAGAGCTCTATTCCCAGGGTAGCTAAGATAGTGGTGGTGGGAGAGTGGAGCAAGGCGGACAGATCTGATGCACCCAGGAAGACAAACAAGAATCAAATTTACAGAAAGTGAAGTAAATGCTATCTGCTTAGAATGGAGTTCATCAGCTTTTTAGTATCTTTTTTCCTATTTGTCTGCTAGGAACTACTTTTTATTGGGCTATTCTCAAGTTCAGTGGTGCAGACAAGATGGTTGAACAACTCTGTGTAAAACCTACAACTATTTAGCAAATAATAGTGAATGCTACTTTCAAAGAACTTTTTGGCCAGACCTCATGTAGCTATGCCAGGCTTCATAAGGGAAGATCAAAAGGACATATCAAAATTGAAACCCTAAAGGAGAGATAATAGATCTAGTATATCTGTAAAGTATCAGGGGGTAGCCGTGTTAGTCTGAATCTGCAAAAGCGACGCGGAGTCCTGTGGCACCTTATAGACTAACTGAAGTGTAGGAGCATAAGCTTTCGTGGGCAAAGACCCACTTCGTCGAGTAATGCATGCATCTGACGAAGTGGGTCTTTGCCCACGAAAGCTTATGCTCCTACACTTCAGTTAGTCTATAAGGTGCCACAGGACTCCGCGTCGCTTTTATATCTGTAAAGTCCCTCCCTTTCAATAACGACAGTTTACCTCTACAGAATACCTCCCAGAGTTCCCACTGGGCAGTGCAGCTCTGTGCCGCTCCCAATGTAGTGCTATGACCTAAACCCGTAGTTGTAAACTTGTGGTCTGTGGATGCCTGGGGGCCTGCCAGAGTATGTCTTAATGGTCCATGAAAGACTGAAAACTGAATGAATGGAATTCAACTACACAGATAATAGATTTCCAAAGGGGCCCGCATTTCTATTCAAAGTTTTTTAGAGGTCTGAAGATGCAAAAAGGTTGAGAAACTACTGTCTTAGAGACATAACACAGCTCTTGGATATTAATGTTCTTTTAACAAACTTTAAGACCGAGAGTAGGTTCACTCCAATATACTCATCTGATCTTCTTTCAACTTGATTCTAAACAGATTTTAAAGATCTGAATCAGATAGCTATTTAGTTTGCCCTAAAATTAACCTTATAATAATGGCAGCAGGTGCATTCTGTAGTAGGCAGACTATGGAAGATTTTTCCTTCTACTTTTAGAAGCTTATAACCTCTAGGCGTGTCTAGGAAAAGACTGAAAGAAAATAGTTTGCTTTTAATGCTAAGGATTCCTAAATCACTGGTGTTTGTTGCAGAAGCAACCGTGGGCTGTACATAGAAAGCTTTAAAAATGTAGGAGTGTTGTTGTTTAGCTTATGGCTTTATGCCACCTTGATTCAGAGTTCGCTTCTGCAGTGCCTGGAAACCGCTGTCAAATAAAAGTGATTATTGTTATTATCTTCATTACTAGAAAACGTATTTATACAGGATTCCCTCAGATGGGCTTAGGGGTGCATTTTAATACTGCTTTGAATCAGCAGCAAGTGACCCAGCATAAGAATGCCGGTGAGCACAGTACCAGCTGGGTGGTAGGCCTGGACACAGCCCTCTTCCAGCAGACTACACCTCCTGAAGCTGCAGCAAAGGGCCTCATTAGTCAGGGTCCACCACCTACTGCTTTCCAGCACTAAGGAGAGATCCTGCTTTGCTGCCTGCAGCAGGAAAAAGAGGCTCCTCCCCATGTTCCCTGCTCACTAGTGCTGTGCACCCACACAGCAGTGGAGAATTTAGCCCTTGGTATTTATTTAAACCTCAGTGACTGCCCTGTCACACCCAAGCTGAGTGTGCTGTTAAAAGATAATTAAGGCCCTGGAAGAGGACTCAACTAGTCTATACGTTGCAAGCAAATGAATGGCTGTTTTGGCGGCTATTTATATGTTCAGATGCAGTGCCAAAATTGCTTTTGGAATGCCAGCTAAGCAGCGGCACGCATCCAACGCCTCTGCCGAAGCACTCTTTGTCAATAGCGTGGGTGCCGTGCACATTCCATAAGAGCAGCTCCCCTCCCCCAGCCCAGAGTGCAACCTGCTCTTGAAATGACTCTGAGTGCAGCACACATGGGCTGCTTAGTGTGTGAGGGGAATGTGACGTCTCAGGTTCTAATCTATGCTGTTAAATAAATGAGACTTTGTGAGAATGCCCAGGTCTTGCTAGACAACTGGCCTGTGCTATAGTGTTATTCTCTGGGAAGGAAGCCTCTGTTTTACCTTACCAGATATGCTTTGGGGTGCCAGAGATGAGCTGTCTGTCACAAAGTGTGGGATGGCTGCTCACAGCAAGACTGCTGCACTGAACAATGGAGTTGTTAAGAGAACGAATTGGATGGTTAGAGATCTGCGCTGAAGGCTAAAACCTGACACACACACACACAGCATTCTATGCAGCCACAACAACCTACATCCATGTGAACCAGTGCAGTTCCACTGCACAGGGAGTGGAAACAGGATTCAGAAAACCCATGCACACTCACACACCACAGAGCATGAGCAGTGCCTCCCCAAATACCCCAGGGTAACCCTGCCCACGTTCCTCTCAGAAGGTGCGTCCTGCTTGCCCTCCCTGCTTGGCCCCCAGGTCTGGCAGGCTGGCTGCTCCTCTTTGGGGGAAATATCTTAGGGTACGTCTAGACTACATGCCTCTGTCGCCAGAGGCATGTAGATTAGGCTACCAGACATAGGAAAATGAAGCGGCGATTTAAATAATCACCGCTTCATTTAAATTTACATGGCTGCCGCGCTGAGCCAACAAACAGCTGATCGGCTGTTTGTCGGCTCAGCGCGATAGTCTGGACGCGCGGGTGTCGACATCAAAGGCATTTGTCGACCACCCAGGTATACCTCCTGGGATGAGGCTGGGATGAGAGTTTCTAGGCTGAGCTAAATTCACCTTTGACTCTTTTCTGCCCGCCCTTTTGGCTACAGCTTCAAAATGCCAACATGAGATATCAATTTTGATGTCAAGCAGCTCTTCAGAATAGTCTGTTTAGATGCTGTTGGAATGTGTGGGGACTCTAGAACTTCCCCTAAAATGCTGCATTCAGCTGTTCCATCTCAGTGCTACACAGGTGTAGACAAATCTGAAGTACTGCAGAACCACGATAACGAAAATTATTAATTAGTTGAAATGATGAATATGAGAGGGAATAATAAAAGGATTAAATCTGCGTAGCTCTGCAAAGTAAAGGAGCAACATAACCTGCCACCACAGGTTTTGGAAGGATACAAATACCAAGATGGGGAATGGTTTGAAAAGAGAGAAACAAGGAGCAAAGGCATCAAATCAAGAAAAGGAAAATGGACAATGGTGAGGAATGAGAATAATATTCCAAGAAAATAGTGGCAATTCCATTCAGCTTTAAGGTTTCAAAGTAATTCTATGATGTGGGCATACAATTACCATATTTACTGAGAAAAAAATGAGATACTAAGAATTTAAGGATCCTGTCTTTGGAAAACAAGCTCTTTAAAAGCTCAGGACCTTAGCTTCTTCCTCTCTGTAAATATGGGAGGGAGAGGCAGAGCTGGGAACAAAGCCAATGTTTCCAGATTCCCAAACCCATATCTTACCCACTGGCCCATGCTTTCTCCTTGAAATAATCCCGATGGAAGGCTTCCATGAATGATTGGAAGTAAATTGGCTTTAGTAGAAAATATGAGCCTGGGGGCCTAAATTTTCTAAAGTGACTAGAAATTTTGTATCCCTTGAATTGTGGGTGCCCAACTTGAGACATCTTCAAGGGATCAGATTTTCAGAAAGTAGATGCTCAGCAGTTTCTGAAAATCAAGATTTTTCAAGCAGTCTCTAGTGAGGCATGTAAAAACTGAGTTATCCAAAATCACTAGTCATTTTTTGAAAATGGAGGCCAAAAGATATTCCTAAGGTATGGACTGGATACTTCATGGGTGGCTAAACGGAGCAATTACTCATACTCTAGTCTAATGATCAATTATTTTAGTTCTAAAATCAACTGAAAGTATTTTGTATTTGTGGGATTGTTTCAGATACGGGGGCTAATTAAAATAGTCAGGATGGACAATCTCTCATCTACACTATCCCAACAAGACTTGCCTCCCGTTATGCCACATACCAGAGAACTATGATATGGTCACATAACTCCGGGAAGTCCTGCATCTAAAGCATGACTCCTTGTAGTGAAACCACGATGTCAGTAAGGCAGCATTAGCCAGTGCTATGATACCACTTCCAGGTGAAGTGTTTGATGAAGAAGCAGTACTTCTGTGGGATGTAATTCAACAGAATGGACCATGTTCTGGGGTCATTGCACTTAGACCATTCAACTCCAGATTGCTTTGTATCATTAGGAACTGGTATAAAATATGTAAGTAGTACCAAGTGTGATAAAAGCTGTGGAGAAAGGGAGGAACTATGGACCAGACTTTCAGCTGGCTTCAACACAGTTAGTGGAGCTATGCTAATTTACACCAACTATGGATCTGGCTCCATCTGTCTGTTTTTCTCTATTTTGAGACCTTTCAGCTACCACTTATTTTGAGTTCTACATAGTTCACCCTAGAAATCAGGCTTCACAAAACTTATTTTTGTTTTCCCAACTGATGCATCTGAGGGTTACTATGTATACCTGGTCCCACAGAATCTGTATCACTTTGACATTTCCTGCATTGAAAATGAAGACAAACATACAAACAAATTATGCAGTTAAGGATATATGTGTCCAGCATGCAAAACCTTGCAAGATTCTATGTAGTGCTAGCAGTATTTGAGGTTAAACAAATTAGACCACACCAGCAAAGATTTCTAACCATGAGCTTACTCGGAAAACTTTCTCCACTCTTGTGATACTTTTCCCAAAGATGGTTCCAAGTTGGTCTCCAATTCCAGCCAGCAGGAAGCCGAACAGTGGAATCCCAAATATGGCATACAAAATGCAGAAAATTTTGCCTCCTTCAGTGCTTGGGGCAATGTTCCCATACCCTGGAGAGAAAAATTATCAGCATAACTTTACAATTCTGACATGACCTCTTCTTCAGGTACCTTTATGTCAAATCCTGACTGTAAATAATTTCTGGGGAAAAAAAAGCAAGTTTCCTTACATGCTTTCTCCCGCATTATGTCCATCAAACAGAGATCAAACAGTCTGGCTTTTTTAGTGGTGCCCATTGGAAACCAGTATTAGTTATTCACATGCGACCCTCAGTTACTACTATTTTCCTCTGGATTCATCTTCCCAACTAAAGTTGTTGTTTGAGTAACTGCGCTACATTTATTCAGCGTGGCAGCTGCACAGTACGCTACAGGAAACCTTTAGATTAGAGCCCTGGCCTATCTCTTCCATGCTGCTGCCACATTTGAACTCTGTCAATTGCTTCCTGATGGGAGGATGACTCACCTGAATATTCTCATTTGCAGTTTTCAGTTCTGAATTACATAGGCTCCTTACCATAGACTATACAAATTGCCATTTCCAGTTCTTGCTGCTGTGCTAGCATAAGGCTTCAAAGACTTCTTTTATTCACTCTTCTTTTTAATTTAATAATAAAAAAGCCTAAGTTTTATTTTTCATTATTTTTAATGGGCTTTCACAAGCTGCTCTTTGAGAATTCTCTCTGGAGATTATTTACATTTAAATAGCATTGTTAATGTGGTAATAAAGACTCCTATATGTCTTCATGTTCTTCATTGTTAGGTAACTCACAGGGCTGCCTCAAGAGAAAGCAAACACTAATTAACACATAATTAGCTGTGTGTTTGTGCTAAATTGAAGCTCTCTGTTCAGACTGAACACCTTAGGTCACGTTTGGTTTGGACTCCAGCTCTGGTTTCAAACTTCAGAACTCATTATCAGTGTAGAAGGCCTTCGAGTACAAAGAATAACTCTCATACCAACTACCAGCAAGAAGCCTTTTGCCCAAAGGGCCCCACAATCTTACTACAGCCACAGCACCAGGGGGCTGTGGGAGGCTAATACTGGCAATAGGATTGGATTTTGAGGGTATATCTACATTCGGTGCTATTTCAGGATACTTCCAGTATACCGAAATAGCTATTCCGCGTCTTGACAGCATGCCCGTTATTTAAAAATATCTTTCAAAATAACAGGCATGCTATTCCGATGTCCCTGTAAACCATGTTCCGTGAGGATTAAGGGACATTTTGAAATAGTGGTTTATTTCAAAATGTGGTGCTATGTAGACAGCTCCAAGTGATGAAATAAGCTATTTCAAAATTAACTTGAAATAAGCTATGCAATTTGCATATCTCAAATTGTGTAGCTTATTTCTAGCTAAGGTGCAGTGTGGATGCACCCTAAGGATACATCTACACTGCAGTACTATTTCGGGATACTTCCAGTATCCTGAAATATCTATTCTGTGTCTTTTAAACAAGCCCATTATTTTGAAATAGCTTTTGAAATAACAGGCTCACTATTCTGACATCCCTGTAAACCTCGTTCTATGATGATTAAGGGACTTTTCAGAATAGCGCTCTATTTTGAAATACACTCGAAATAAGCTGCACTATAACTCAAAATAACATACCCTTTAGGGTGCGTCTACACTGCACCCATAGTTCGAAATAAGCTATGCAATTCAAGTTAATTTTGAAATAGCTTATTTTGTAATTTGGTGCTGTCTACACAGTGCCAAATTTTGAAATAAACTGCTCTTCTGAAATGTCCCTTAATCCTCGTGGAACGAGGTTTGCAGGGACATCAGAATAATGAGCCTGTTATATTTCAAAATAACGGGTTTGTTCAAAAGACGTGGAAGAGCTATTTCAGGATACTGGAAGTATTCCCGAAATATTGCCATGGTGTAGACATACCTTTAGAGAGTAATTTGCCCGGAAACCATAGGGAAAGTATCACCCTCTTAGTTTATTTCAAAGTTGATGTATAGTGTAGACCTAGCCTCCATGTGCTATCTCAGAATAGTTATTCTGAAATAGCTTGTTTCGAAATAGCATGTCTACACTACAAGGAAACTTAAAAATTAGTTTGAGGCAGGCTTCCCTAATGTAGACATGTTACCTTTATTCAGAGCCCCAAGAGGCACTGGGGACGAATAAGTTAGAATGGCCCTTGTGAGGCGCTATTTCAAAATTGTAGCAAAGGAGCTTCTACACACCTTTTTTCGAAATAGCTATTTCAGAATAGGCGTTATTCTTTGTAGAATGAGGTTTACCGATTTCAGAATAAGCCGCCCATTATTTTAAAATTATTTCGAAACAACGGAAATGCTGTGTAGACGCTTGCATAGTTATTTGGGAATAACGGCCATTATTCCGAAATAACTTTGCTTCATAGACATACCTGGAAAGTGCCAGAAGACTTGTGTGTGTAGAAAAGGAGAACACGCTGTGACATTTTAAAAAATTTAGCCAGGCCAATAATGAGTGCATTTTCCCAGCACTAGGGAAGGAAGAGTAATAATGCCTCTGCACAAACAAGTGAAACACCTTCAGCCACTGCAGTATGTACATGTTCCTCCTTTCTTTCCACTCTCCATGTGTCTCTGGACAGTGATTTATTACTTCAGTGGTCATTTGGGAAACATGATTACCATTAAAGAGAGGAAACAGTATTCTTCACTGTATCACCCTCAATATTAGAGTTATGATTATTTTAGGGTCTTCATTAAAACCATTCATTATAGTGGTTTGTTGCTTATCTACTCCAAAAATTACCACACACCCACAAATGAATTATTTAAAAATATAAAGGAAAAATCAGATTAAATTCAAAATTGTAACTGATAAATCCTAGTGTTGATTTTTGTAAACAAGACCCTAATCACAGGGTCTGATTCAGGACAGTATCCATATTCAGGAAAGTCAGTTAAGTACATGCTTGACTTTACGCATATACTTAAATCCTACTGCAATCAACAAAGTCTAAACATATGATTCAATGCTTTTCTGAATCAAGCTGTGAACTATAATATGCCATCTATGAAGATTCCAAACATTTTTATGTAAAAATAAATCAGTATGAATAACACCTCAATTATTGACTTTCCACAGAAATATGAGCTGCTGGTAAACACAAAGATCATCAATTGAGTGTCCTCAGAAGAATTAAATCAAAGACAGTGACAAAAGTCATTAGGTGGGTAAAGAATTCATTCATAAATTGGGAGAGACTGAAAAGATTGGGGCTATTTAGGAGAATACAAGAGGGAACCTGACAGATTAATACAAATATTAGTGGCATAAAATAGGTAAATTGAGCATTCCTATTTAGTCTTTCACGTAGTTCAGGAACAAGGAGACATTCAGTGACATTTAAAGAAAACAGTTTTAAATCTGGTAAAAGAAAAGGGTTGTGGGTTTTTTTTCCACAATGCATAATTAACTTGTTGAACTCATTGCTACCAGTTATCATTTAGGCAAAAGTTTTGTAAGATTTTTAAAATGATTAAACCTTTATAGGGACAATGAATATACCACTAGTTAAAATAACTAGAATCTAGAAACAATTATGAGGGCTATAAAATCTCATGCTTCAGAGCATAAGCCAATTACTGACTGATGTGATTAGGAAGAAATTACCTTTGGAGGAAAGTTATTCCATTAATGACCAGTACCAGGTTTTCTACACCCACATCTGAAGCATCTGGCATTTGTGCTTGACCTTCAGAGACTGAGATGGTTTGCATAGCCATGCCAAGTAGGCAGCCACCTGTACGAGGAATAACAAGGCTACAGAACTATGAAAATTTCTGCTTTCTGCCAGCCTTGCTTTCTTGAACTATCATTATATAAGGAATTCCTGATGTGCACCCCAGGGCTCAGTGTCAGATACACCACATAATGATACAGTCAGAGCAACCCAAATAGTGCAGTTCTGTTGCTTTGCCTGTCTCTCTGAAACATGGTGAATCTTATTTCACTCTACACTGTTCAATGTCACCATCTACCTTAAAATATAAAGATACCTATGGTTGTGATGACTGTTCCAGCAAAGAAAAAGGCACTTCCAAGGTCCCAGTGACTGCTGTTGTTAGACGAGTTTCCTATGGGACTGACTCCTGCATTATCTGCATCAATGGCATGCTGCAAGGAAAGAGATAACAAGTTGGTCTGCAAAGTGCCTTCTTAAACATGGTACAGTTAGAAACAGGAACCCCAGTTCCACATATCAGTGGATCTGAATTCTGTAACTGATGTTCCAAGTCCAGTATCATCCTCCATACAAATTGTATCCCCAAGTATTCTACAGAATTAAATAATAAATATCAAAGGGGTAGAAAAATTTAGAGCCAAGTGACGAAAGATACAATGAGGCTTGAAATCAAATGGAAAATTGATGCAGCAGAGAACTGCAGAAATGCTGTTCCAGAGGCAGAAGCAGAAGAGTAAAGAGGCTCTGTAATGGTGGACTGGGATGAGGTGGATGTTAAAGGTAACAGAGAGGGTTGTAAATAGAAATAATATGCACTGAGAATCTAGTCAGTCAAGGGTTTTAATTATCAGGTAATTAAATACATTACATAAAGTTATTAATATCAGATGCTAAATAAAGTACAGGATACCTAATATGAAAGGGAAAAAAAAGGTCTGCTTAATATCTAGGACTTCCCAATTGCCACTATGGTGCACACCATGGACCCTTGGGATTTCATAGCACTAGAGGTGATAGATCTGCCTCTCCTGATAGCACAGATTCCTGCCATCTGATACAAAACTCAGCCTTCATCAATAGTCATGACACATCTGAGCAGGTCTGATCCCATTCTGAGGATGGCAGTGTTGCCTATAGACTAGTGGTATGGAGCTTTTCATGCATGGGCAATGGATCATTCTCCATGCCATGCCAAGAAAAAGTGTAAAAGAGGCTTGGCTGTAGGACTGGGATTGGATTACAAATTCAAAGGAGGTTAATACTGAAAAATCCCTGCAGATTCCTGTATTTATTCTCTGCATATTTATGTATCTGTACAATCATGTGACTTCATATAGCCTAGAGCGCATTTAGCATCTGAGGGTTACTGAGGTGTGGAGTTTGCCCACATAGCAGGGAAATACCTGGACTGATAGATTTAAAGTATAACTTCAGTACCTCTGGTTTTTAACAGATCCACGGACACCATCCCAGCTGCATCATTCCTTCCCTCACTGCCCCTTCTGCACCTGTCTCTGACCCCTACCTGTACCCCACTGGCACTTCCCTTGGCAATCTTCGCCACTCTCTTTCAAGAACATTTGTTCCATCTGATAAGACCACAACTATCCCCAACTCCTTCAGGGGCAAATCCTGAAATTATGAACTGTCTTGATAATCAGAGGGTCAGCTCCCTCAACTAAAAGGATACAGTTTTGGACAGCCCTATGGTGTGTTTCCTTTTTTCACTAACATCACTTGCTGCTTGGCATTAGCTAATTAATCCAGACAGCCATCTTCAGGTAGTATGTGTCTACACTCGGCTGTTTGTCCCCTCAATTGCCAATTCAATCAAGGAACTTATATTTGTCAAGGCTAGTGTGGACACTGCCTACATTTGATCCAGGTGACACACATTTGTATGGCTGCGTCTAGATTGGCATGATTTTCTGGAAATGCTTTTAACGGAAAACTTTTCCGTTAAAAGCATTTGCGGAAAAGAGCGTCTAGATTGGCACGGATGCTTTTCCGCAAAAGCACTTTTTACAGAAAAGCGTCTGTGCCAATCTAGACGTGCTTTCCCGCAAAAAAGCCCTGATCGCCATTTTCGCGATCGGGGCTTTTTTGCGGAAGACAAATCTGAGCTGTCTACACTGGCCCTTTTGCGCAAAAGCTTTGTGCAAAAGGGACTTTTGCCTGAACGGGAGCAGAATAGTATTTCCACAAGAAGCACTGATTTCTTACAGTAGGAAGTCAGTGCTTTTGTGGAAATTCAAGCGGCCAGTGTAGACAGCTGGCAAGATTTTCCGGAAAAGCGGCTGATTTTCTGGAAAAACTGGCCAGTCTAGACACAACCTATATGTTTGTGAATACTAGGCCTTATAAATATGTGACATACCTTCATTTAATTGACAATTAATTTGAGATTTTAAAAAGTCTTATGAATAGAAGCCCATAGCACACAGGAGAGCAGAACTGCTGATGTGACGGAGCATGAGGTACTGAGGGTATGTCTACACTACCCTCCTAGTTCGAACTAGGAGGGTAGTGTAGACATACCCAGAGTTAAGGGGCAATTGAGGGATGGGAGCAGAGGTCCTGGTGGGGGACTGGCTGCAGCAGGAGTCCCAAATGTAGACTCCAGATGTGGAATTGTGGACAGAATCCTGGATACAAGGCTGCATGCAGGGCTGGGAACAGAACTCTAGGACAGAGACCTGCAGACAGGACCCCTGCAGGAGGGGCAAGGAACACAGCCCTAGGCATGGGTTCAGCCGCAACTGGAAGTCTGCAGCCCGGGCTCCCCGCTTATGCTAATGAAGCCCGGGAAATTCAAATCCCGGGCTTCATTAGCAAGTGGGGTATGTCTACACTACCCCGCTAGTTCGAACTAGCGGGGTAGTGTAGACATACCCTGAGAGAACTGATTCTGGATTGTTTGGAGGGAAGTGCTATAATTTGGCTCATCTGGTATTCCAGCTCCTTTCTTCAAGAATCCAAGCTAAGAAAAACTGTTTTTCTTACCATCAGAGGACAAACTCTCTTGAGTATTTGGAGGGGGGTATGTCTACACTACCCCGCTAGTTCGAACTAGCGGGGTAGTGTAGACATACCCTGAGAGAACTGATTCTGGATTGTTTGGAGGGAAGTGCTATAATTTGGCTCATCTGGTATTCCAGCTCCTTTCTTCAAGAATCCAAGCTAAGAAAAACTGTTTTTCTTACCATCAGAGGACAAACTCTCTTGAGTATTTGGAGGGTTATTCAGTGGAAGCAGTACAGATGTTCCCAAGTGCAGAAATGTGGCCCAAAAAGTGAAAGTGAAAGAAAAACAAAGCTCTACCACTTTTGTCCTTCCTTTTCAATTATATTAAATCACTGTCTCCCTCACCATCATTCTCCCGTACATTTCTTGTCATCGAGCATACAAAAGGATATTCCCGCTGCACTTGTTTCTCTATTACAATGACTTTTCATTAGTAAGAAGATAATTCTTTTCTAGACTCTTCTTCTCCTTGTTTTTTTGACCCTTTAGTGAGGATGTTTGCTATAGATTCATCTTTATTCCCAGTCCTACAATAATGTTCTGAGGACTCATTATGTTGCCAAGATTTTTTTAGACAACTTTTTAGTTTCTTTGTCAGCTCAACCGTAACCAATTCAACAAAATAACAAGACACCAAACATTTGTAGAATCATCAAAACTAACTCATTGTAACTCTTGTCTTTAACTTACATACCTGCTTCCTTTATTTTTGTATTCGCTTTTCCTATTGTGTTTCTGTTTAAGCTCATAAGCGATGAGGGCCTGGTCATTGTCCATAAAGCATCCAACACATTCTGGACACCACATAAACAAATGGTATGTGAAAGATTACTACACTATTTCCAACTCTGTCTACAATGCTCTCCTCTTGCATCTTTTACCTTCCAATATAAATTCTTTCTTTCGACAACCACAGCCATAATACTCAGTTCAGCTTCTGGAGCTGTGGCCACATCAATTATTATGCTCTCTAATTTTTGTCTGAAAAACATTTTATATCTTCTTCAGTTCAATGATTGCTTTTCATAGGCAAACTCAACAATGCATCCAAATAATAATAATAGTGCTGTCTATGCCAAATGATAACTGTATGCTTTGTCTTGTACAGCAGAGGTAACCTCACACCTCATAGCTTCTGCTAGGATCTGACACTGACTGTATTATTAGGGAGCAAGAGAATCATAATAAGAACCAAATATTCACTGGGATTAAGCCTCAGATATTAGCAGCAGAAGCATCTTGCTAAATTGTAAGCCATGTCATGTATCCCAAAGTGATTTCATGATCAGAGTCTCTGAACAAAGTAATGGAATTTTGCATAATTATTTCATTAAATAAATAAAAGATAACACAGATCTATCTTTCTTTTGTCTTGTGAAGCTTTAGGCCAATACAAAAATACACTTCAGTAGAACAAGAATCCTAGCATTTGCCAGTCAGGCCTCCGGTTCTCTTGGGGCTCCCCTGCTGGCCACTGCCCTAGCCACTGCCCTGGCCAGCAGGCTGCACTGGCACAACTGCCTGGCTCCACTGTACCTGGACCACTTGCAGGCCTCTGCTCCCAGCCACCAGGCCCACAGACTGCCAGCCTCACTCAAAGAGCTCTGCTCCCAGCTGCATGGCTTTGCTTCTGGGGGCCCATCCCCACACAGGGCGCCTTCCACTCCTGGGGCTCTGCTCCCAGCCACCCAGCCCCGCATGGCCTGCCAGCCAGGCTCCATTCCTGGCTGCTGGTCCCATGAGCTGCTGGCCAGGCTGCCTTCCCCCAGGCTACTGGCCTGCAGGCTGCCAGCCCACCAGACGGGCTCCACCTCCAGCCACTCTCAACCTCTGCAGTTGGAGCTCTCTACTCCAGCAACAACCGTGGTCCTACCAGATCACAGATGTTGCCAGACCAGATAGTCCCAGAACAGAGGTTCAACCTGTACTCACAATAGCCAATGGGCCATGTGTCATTTTAATCACTCCCATCATATCACCCTCTCCATAAACTTATCAAGCTCAGAATTTGAAGCCAGGTAGGTTTTTTGCCCCCACTGCTTCCCGTGGAATGATGTTCCAGAACTTCACTTTTCTGATTAGAAATCTGCTCATTTCAAGCCTAAACTTGTTGATTGCCAATTTAAAATGAATAGTGTGTTAGGTTTATATACTAACTGGAGTGGCTATTTCTTTAAAATGTCTCTATATAAGAACTGATGTTAGAAAAAAAAGTCTATCTGCTTTAGATACAATCATGCTTATAATTCGCTCAATGAAATACAGAAACACATACAAAGACATACATACAAACACATACATACATTTGTTGTTGCTTGGATTTTTTGCTTACCAAATAAGAAAAATAATCCCTTTCTTGCAAGACTACTATCTACTATCCTGGGTAATGTGATCTATTGACTATTGG